CCCCAATTAATAAGTGTTCCCTGAAGGTAATGAACCTACTTTTTCTATGTGTTGATATCACAATTAGCTTGTGGAAAGCAGGGAGTTGGGAAGATGGGCTGGTGTGAAACTTGTTCATACAAGTTTGGTGTTATGCCAAGGTGGTTGGCTATAGTAATCTATAATTTTTGAGAGATTACTGATTATTTAAGTTTTAGTGATGATACAGTAAAATGAAAGGGAACTAAATTAAGGTGGTGGATACTGCTTAAGTTCCAGGTTTCAGCTACTTTGAAATTGTAAACAGGTATCATGAGGATAGCTCATGTGACAAATAAGACAATGGGTTTTTTTAAACATGATTTTCAGGCTTAGAGGAACGTGAAAATTAGCCATAAATCATCTTTATATGGATGTAAAGCTTTGCAGGGCCATAGTCCTGTGTTAATGTCAGTACATAGCTGATTTTTGTGACAGCACTTGGGTATCACAGAGCTGGGCACATCAGATGTGTAAGTCAGATTTGAATAGTAATTTTGAGTTTATATAAACTCAAAAATCAAAGCACCTAGCTTATCTCTGCTTATGAAAAGTAGGAAAATATAGTCTGCTATAATGAGTAGTCTGTTTTGAGGTCCAGGAATAATGTTTCTTTTCTCCTTTGTTTATAAATGCCTTCATAGAAGGAAATAAAAATACACTTGGTGTGTTTTGATATGCTGCAACTTAATGCTCTTTGGGTTTTTTATTTTACTTTTTGCGCTAGTGCAGTTACTAATCCAGGAAAAATGAAAGTTGTCTAGCATGGTATCGAAAATAAGGTGAAGCTGTTGTACAGCACCAGCGAACACAGGCAAATGTAAAAAGATACAATCCTAGTCAAACTTGCAGCAAAATAGCCTGGATATTGTTAGGAATTTACTACCACAAAGCAGTTCTCATTTTATGATTTAGACTGGCTAAATAAAATAAAAAAATAAACTGTTGTCTCATATGACTTAAATGAGGTATCTTTCCCCATTTGATTTGGGGTTTTCTTAGTACTGGTAAGATTAGTAGGTAAGATTAGGATCCTTATTCTGCATGCTATTACAGTATTAATGTTAGGAAAAGAAATTTAAAAAAACCCAACCCTATGGATTCTGTATTATCTTGGTACCTAAGTAAGATCAAATTTCAAATTAATTTCGAAGTTCCAGGGGTGTTTTAATGAGAATAGCACATCTAAGCCCAACTGGTAATTCTGCAAATCTACTGTCTGCACTTCGGGTACCGTGGGAATGTGAATTAAACACACTGAAGAAGGGAAAAGGAACAGTAAATTTAGTATAACTTATTATAAATCTTTCTGTTAATTATAAAGTACTGTTATTTAACTTCTCTAGAGAAATCATAGGTTATTGGGAATGTTTTCATATCTACTTTATGGTTGCAAAAAGATGGTTCTTGACGGGCAGCTCATCTGTTTGTTTCTCTTGTTCCCAGACAACTGTCAATGATGCTAATGTTGGCTCAGTCTAATCCTCAGCTGTTTGCATTAATTGGAACAAAAGCTAATATAAATAAAGAATTAGAACGCATTGAACAATTCTCTAAACTGCAGCAGTTAACAGCAGCTGATTTACTAAGCAGAAATAAAAGAAACTGGAAAGAATGGCTGGAGAAATACAGGTGAGGTTTGTCAGTATTCCGAGCAGTGTATTTGTTCTGCATTTTATTTGAGAACAGCATGCCTGTCTCACGAAAGACACCTTGTCTCAAAGTATATAGGTTGGGAGGGATGTGAGGGGCATGCAACTCCAAATATTAACTACTATAAGATCAGTATCTGTGTTGCTGTGAAAGTTCAAGGGCACCTGAGTATTTTGTTTAGTAGATTTTGGAGAGGGGTGAGGGGTATATAAATCAGCTTGCATCAAATCTAGTATTAAAAGTGCTTTGAGAATGTTGATTCTAGAAGAGACTCATTTCATTTGTGAGCTATTAAGTGCTCAGTAACTGCAGCTGACTGGTCTCAAGTATTTTATCCTTTTACATTTTTTTCCTGAAAGAAAAGTCTGTGTACAGAAAGCAAGAAGTATTCTTTATCAAAGAGTAACATGGCCAGAAAAAAAATTTCCAGACTTATTCTAACAGGCATAATTTAAAATCCTAAAAATTCAATGTTAGCAGGAATTTTTCTATAAAGAAAGTAAGTGGTGTCTGCTGCCTGGATTAGGTCAGGACTCCTTTCCTCACCTGGCTGCCTGTGGTCTTGTTCTCCAGCGGGGCTGAGAATTTTAGTAAGGATTCCTGCTAGTGGGTAGATCAATCTGCCTCTGTATTGTATCCCTTCACTTTTAACAGAACATCAAAAGCTTTAACCAATAAATAAGCGTAGAAGTATTTAAGCCACGTTCTGAATGTGAAGGGTTTTGCAGAGCAATGCACCAGTGTGCGTGCATGTGTGTTGGGGCGGGTGCTGGGGGTGTCTTAATCTGACTTTTCAGAGAACGTGCAAGGTGTGCCACTTCCTCAAGCCTGGTCAGGACCTGTTAATGTCTGTCATGCTGCTTTTAAATGAAATGGGGTTTTGTAATCTGTTGTGCTGGATTTTATAAACCGAGAGGATTATAGATGGCATAATATTTATTAAGAACTGCAAACTAAGGATCTCAAGACAAGGAAACGGGTCAACTTTTCCATGTGGATCTTGAACCAAACCAGTTGCTTTCACTTGCTTAATTTCAGAGTCCGTTTGCAAAAAGAAATAGAAAGTGTTAGTGATGCTGATGCCTGGAATACTGATCATGTGAAGGTCATGAATTCAAACAATCCAAAATATATCTTGAGAAATTATATTGCCCAGAACGCCATAGAAGCAGCTGAAAATGGGGATTTCTCAGAGGTATGCTGTTACTACTTAACATCTCTCTAGGTTTGCGTGGATGTATAGTCTGTTGATGACAGACATTATGTTAGGCAAGATTCATTCTGGCATCTCAGGCAGTTAGGGGATTGGGAATGTGCTGGTCAGACAGTCTGCAGTATTTTTGAGGGAGCCGTGATTTTGATGACTGCAGAACAAAGAAAGGAACTGAAAATTTGAATCTGAACTTCACCAGCTTTTGTAGGCTGATCCCAGGACAAGATGCTTACCTCTGCTTTTACTGTCTTATACATGGCATTTACCATGGGAGGCAGTTGGGGATGAATTTATACTTGTTCCATGCTGTGCTGTTATCTTTTAAAAGTCCTGGCTTTCACCTGTGGAGTTCAGTATGTGGATTGTTACATGCAGAATATGGGAAAATTATTTTATTTTGAGAAATTATATAAGAACTTGTATTTGAGACTTGCATTTCAAGTTATTTGAGCTTGAGTTCCATACAGATACACAAACTCAGAGAGTTATGACTTCATAGGTTTCTGTTTATTTGATATGCATATTGTTCATCTATTTAATATTTGGTTTGTCTGGAGTTTGTGTCTTAAATACACTCGACCGTTTATTTGCTGTGAGATTCTTCTCTACATGATTCTGCCTTTACTTTCTACATTGTCATAACTGTGCTGTCTTTTCTTTCTAGGTAAGAAATGTACTGAAACTCCTGGAGAATCCGTTCCAAGAAGCAGAAGGCTTCCGGGAGGTAAAGGAAGATGCAGAAGAGGAGGGAGCAAGTGCTACAGCAGCTGCTTGTGCTCAAGAGACCAGAAGCAGACTACCATACTGCAGTAAACCTCCACTATGGGCTTCAGAGCTCTGTGTTACATGATCTTCGTAACTGCCTTGTTTTATTTTTTGCTGTAAACTGAAGACTCTCATCCTCCTTCAGCAGTGAAGAATTCAGCAAGGCAAACATCAAAGTGCTATTAAGTTACTGAGACAACCCTACATTTGGATGCATCTGCAACAGTCTTCAGCTGTGCTTGGTATGAAGCACTTGTGGATATTGGAACAAACCAATGACAATCAACAGTCCATACACATCAGTAATTTAAATGTTTTGAGACTGAAAGTCTTTCCTTTATTCTTACTGCATTGCAAGTAGAGCAATATTTTCTGTTGAAGCAGGCTGAATTTCGAACATCCAAATGGAGTTGTTATGTGAAGACAAAAATAGCGAAAGTCAGGAATCTGATCTGTTTTTGTCTGATGTCTTAACTAATAGTACTTCTCACGTTTATTTACTGCTTTCTCTATGCAGGGACTTTTAGTCCTCTAACGGAGGAATAGATTCAGTGTTGCTTGTTTTAAGCTATGTTTCATTTAATTAAGTAGCTCATTTCTTGTGAACCTTCAGACTGATTATCTATTTTTACAGAATTTATGCAGGCTAAGGTGGGGTGAGCAATTGAATGTGGTGTTTTGTTTTGGTTTTTTTTTTTAATACAGTAAGAGCAGAATTAAGGGAGACTATGTATATTTGCACTTGAAAATCATGGTGGTAAAGTTTATTCAGGTTCAGTATGTTTGCATACAACATGCGTAAATATTTACTAAAATCATGGATCCAGTTTGTCAGCCGATTGACTCTGGCAAGGTCAGTTAGCCAAATTAGAATGAACCTTAAACTACCGCAGTACTCAAATCCAAGTTCATCATCTATATATTTGTGTACTCTTTGTAGAGTCTCCTTGTGTAAGAAGCACGCAGGTGGGGCATCTGTTCGTTCACACTGGTCCGTGGGATTCTTTCATTCCGCCTCTGGTCTTGTACTGCTTAGTTTGCTTCCATGGTCTTTGAAAATCTTTACGCTGAAAGCTGCTGTTCAGGTGTCTATAAGATGATAGAGGATATGGGAGAAGGATGGGAGCTGACTTGCTTGCAGGTTACTTATTGATAGTATTTCATGTCAGCAAAAAAAAGTTGTTCCATAGTTAGCTATTACTTACCTTTCTGAGCTTCTTTCTAAAGGACTGTACTACTGATTCAGATACCTGAAATCTTGGGAAAAGTTTGATTTAATGCAAAGGTTTCTCTCTTCCAAAGAGACCACCGTCTTACACTGTGAGTTTACGCGTACTCTAGTAAATTCTTCCTCCACCTCTGTGCAAGCTTGGTATTAGCTCAGGTTGAATTGTGCTCTTTTAAGTCTTCCTCAACATACGAGCTGTGGAAAAAGAGGGAGAACAGCTGGGCTACTGCTTATCCATCTGTGCTAATAATCAGTTTGTCCTCCTTGCTGCCACAGTAAATAGGTGATGCTTTGAATGTAAACATTCATTCTGTCTTGCCTTCGACCTGGAGAAACTGATGCCAGATAATGAGTTGTGACGGACTAGAATCTCTGACGAAGACGGCACTTTCTGTGACATTTCGGAGTCCTTGCGGAAAAGGACAACCGTGAAGGTGTATTTACCTAGTCCATGGAAGAATGGTGTAGTTGAAAGGGGAAGTACCTTGAAGAAGTGGGCAACAAGTGATGGGAGCCTGTGCCGCTGGCTGTCTTCTAGAGATAATGTGGTTTTGTAGGTGTTTTAGACCGTCATCGGGGATTATCCTTCCTCTGCACTCAGGGGTACTGGAACGAAGCGTTTAATGGAAACTTGAACAGAAAGTCAGCGCTGGATAAGAAGGACTGCGCCGGGGAGGGACAGGGAAGGGAAGCGTACTGGAAGTTTGAAAGATGCTCCAAACATACCCCTGACAAATTTGCAGAACCAGTGGTCTGTTACGCTGTGCCCAGTCCAGAAGGGAGTGATGGGGGGGACGTTGCTCCAAGCTGATCCACAGAACTCTGTGCTGATTTTGGTTCTCAATTTTTATCTTTTGTTTTGAGAGGCAGAGGGGAACAGTGTTTTGCAGGAGCTCTACCCAAGCTTTTGTCTTACCAGAATGGTCTAAGAAGTAATGATTTTACACCATGCTTAAGGGATCAAGTCTTTTTAACAGCATTCTGGTATTAATTTGGGGGGCGTGAGTAGATCTTTATTAATAGTGGTGTGGAGAAGGAGAATGATGATATAGCCCTGTGTTTGGACATAGGAGAACTTGAATTAACTACCAAATTATTTTGCATTTAACGACATATTTTGCACTTACAATGCCAAAATCATGGAGAGAGAGACTTCGAAATAACTTGCTAGCAATTTTATCCTTAAAAAGGGAAATTGAATGTAATAGTGAGGAATGAAAATGTGGTGTCATTTCTTGCTAAATACATTCTTTGCTTACCTATAGATCAAGTGCAAGAGGTGTAGAAAGCTTGAAATGATGAATGCAGACCCTTGGTGCGGCTGCTTTGGCGTGCCACTCAGTAAAGTTGTATTTGTAATAGATGCGGTATGTTCGCTGACTGGTAGAAATCCTCAGAGGGTATTCACGAAGTCTTAACTGTGCTGACGTTCAACTGCTCGGTTTCTCAGTGCATGCAATAATATTGATGCTTTGGGTTGGAAGAAGCATGATGATCAGAAGCCACGTGGAAGGCCTGTGCTCTTCTCGCACCCTCATTTCAGAAGACAGATAGTAGTTTCAGCTCTGATGATAGTGAGTTTCTTTTGTTCTTGTTCTGGAGCAGTGTGGAAGCAGGACGTTTTTCAGGACAATTACACCAAATTTTGTCCAGGTAAGAATATTATCTCTTAGCTTAGTTCTTCAGAGAGAAGGGAATACAGCTTGTAACATTTGAGAGTCTAAATACTTGAATCGTAAATTGCTTCTTGATTTTTACAGCTTGTATTTGCAGTAGGAAAACCTGAAAGTAATATTTCTTATTAGTCAAATATTCCACTTACTTAAAAGCCATGGACTTACGCTCAGAATAAATTGGTGACTCTTCACGTCAACAGCTTTCTCTGGAAACACTTGATCAGACTTTAATCTGTGGCTGTACAGCCTGAACTACCCTTGCATAAAAGCAAGTGTACCCAGATTACAAAACTGCAGTGAGAAGCTCTTGGAGACGTGTCTCTGGATATTCTCACGTGGTATGACTTCAAAAGATTTCACCATAATTCTGCTTCACGAGCTTGTAAATCTACAATTGCCGAATGTTTTGCTGTCAGCTCTCACTTTGGAATGGTTTGTGTTGTGGATTTGTGTTTGTTTTCGGTTGGTTTGTTTGGGGTTTTTTCCAAACAAGTGCTATGGCTTTCTTTGATTCTTTTATTAAAAAAAATTAAAAATGCAATTTTAATATTCTTGCCTATACCTATTTCCTGAAAGAGTTTTGCTGTTAACCATACTGTGCAGACTTTGTTTCTTTAGAAGTATTTGCTCTGTGTTAGCATCAGATGGCCAGGTCATATCACAGAAAGCTCACTGCGTATATTTGAGGAGTGAATTATTGCAGGTACAGTCTCCTGCCTCACCAGTGATTTTGGCAGTGTGCTTGCAGCAAGGTGAGGACCTTCACCTTTTTCAGAGAAACCTTGCTCCTAGTTACTTGGCCATAAAACCTGTATGCTGACCCGTCTTTAATTCAGTGATCTAAGGAAGAATAAAACCCACCACCTGATGTCAACAGATACAGGATGCGATTTCAAATTCTGCTTAGAGAAATAGGCCTTTGCATAGAAAATGAAGATGCATTTTGTTTGTTTAAACTTGATTTTGTAGTTTATGCAGATAATTTTTTTTAAAAGAGGTGGTAACATCTCAGTCCCTGGTGATCCTTAAAATGTCACTAGCACAGACTGTTCAGGGCCTTGTCTGGTTGGACCTGCATTAAGCAGGGATTGGACTAGGTGACCTCCAGAGATCCTGGCCAACCCTTGTGCCCTGTGACTGCTCAGGGCTGACTGCAGGTCAGTGCAGGGGTTCCTGCCTCCTGCGAGATCTCACCTGGGGACACTGGCAGCAGCTGATTGTCCTCAGGGGCCTTCAATGATACAGCAGGTTCAGAGGAGGTTGTTAGCTGGAGTTCTGCGTGGCTTCTCACCTGTGCTGTGCTTGGCCACCCAGGTCCCCATGTAGTGTGATTTGTTTGCTTGCAGGCTAGGTCAGTTCAGAAAGGGGAGGGATTATAGAAACTGGAGAAGAGGATGGGAAAGTGCATTTTAGGTGATGATACTAAAAGTAATGAGTAATTTGTTGTGCTGATCAATTGGGAATGTTGACAAACATTTTGTGGTAGTGCTGGAGTGTCACCCAGCTCTGATGTAGCTTGCTTTCCCACCTGAATACACATATGGCTCCTCAGGGCGCTTCAGCTGCGGTAAACCTCTGCGCTCCAAAGTATCTGTTGAACAGGTCGTTTCTGGTATTCTGGATGTCAAGTTTTTGTCTGTGGTGGACGTGCATTTAGGCCAAACCTGCTGCTTGTCCCTTTCAGGGAGCACATCCAAGCAAAGGGCTGAGGCAACCCCCAGGGTCCACTCAAAGAGCAAATTCAGGCCTCGGTTATCCTGAATTTACTGTGTCAGCTCCATGCTTCACACATTGTGTATCATCTCCACACACTGAGTCTGCTCAGTCATGCCCAAGGATGTTCAGGCAGCCACCAGGCCCTTTCTTAGCAGACCCTTCAGCTCTGTTACGCAGGTGGATGGGACACAGGCAGCTTTTACCTCTGGCCAGAGTCAGTATGAGACAGGTAGAGGCAACAACCTGCACTTACCCCTCCAGAGCCAGGTGATACTTGAGGGTAATGGATGTAAACCCAACAGGAGGGTTTATATTCTAAATAATGCAGCCAATACCTGTGTTACATCTTTTCATTTGGCTTTATGCTTCATGCATTTACAGTGGGAGGTGTTGGGGTTTTTTTTGTGCAGAGGCAGTTCTCAGTTGCTCTGAACTGTACAAAAATGTTGCACTAGGTCCTCTCAC